TGCCTTCATCCTAAGTCAGCTGAGATAGACTCCAGCCCCCCATGACCCGAGTGAGGATTAAGTGGTGTATAGATAATGGATGGATGATGTGGTGAGACAGCAAGTTACACCAACTAGTCCTTTACCAGCAACCTGGTCCTTAGGATCAGTGTTTATTTTTGGCAAAACTCTGTTGTTGTTGTCGTCTAACCCGCTTTCACAGAAATTGCATTGATAAAAAGATCCTATATTTAGGATCCTAAATGGACAAGATATTGAACTATCTCCTCTGAAGAATTATGACCACAGATGAAATGGAGATTAAAATCATCTCAACTCAATTTAGCCACCATTGTATTTGAAAAATAGAGTTTGCCCAGCTATTTGGTCTGACATAAATCTTTGTGGAAGAAGTTTACCCTCTACCCCACAGCATTATCAGATCAAAGAAAAGTAAGAATAAGGAAAAAAAAAACATCAGCCAATGCTTTGTCTGAAGATAAAATGTCTTTTTTTTTTTCTTGTTTAAACTTGTAGATATTTACCTTGTTATGACCACAAATGAGTCTACTGCTATATTTCCAACTCTTAAACCTAACCAGCCTTGAAGCTTATGATTTAAACTTCAGAGAAAGCCCTCTTGGCAGAAAAGAACTTACTGTTTCAGTAGCACTAAGTCATCTTCTAAATTCACAGTGCATTGCCTATTCATCATGGAAACAGTCCAAGACTTAATTTCTTTATAAGGCATGAGGATGTTAAACTACATATGGGGAATGAATTGGAGGACTTCTGAAACGCTGCACTCTCTGTGTCCTCCCTCTGTGTTTGTCTGTTTGAGTCTAACTGGCAGAGAGGGGCGAAAAATGAGGGAAATGCGAGAGACAAGACAGCTGTATCGGATCCCCAATTAGGAGCTACCACACACAGAGACCAACCTGCGCTAAAGCGTGCACTGTCACACGCATCCTCGGGCCGAGCGCACGCAACTCGCAATCACGCAGGACGTGCACGTATACATAATGTATACATCCACTCGCAGACGTCCTGGAGAGATGTAGAAACGATGTGGGTTTGTTTGCGAGCGCGAACCGCGGTTCAGACGACATCAAACGACGAGCATCCATAGGCTGACGGTGTTCCACAAGGGAATGAAAACACCTCTCTGATGCTGCAAGGGCCCTCTGAGGACTGTCATTAACACTTCACACGCACAAGCGCAGCCAGGGTGCACACAGATTTTTGTCAAGCCTGCCAAAACTCGGCGCACAAGAGTTTCGTATTGACATTCCTCCTTAAATCTCAGCAGTCGAGAAAATACTGTCAATTTCAGCAGTGTTACTGTTCTCTGTGTATCGCGCTGGAAGATATCAAAACTTCCATTTTGGCAAGGATTCTAAAGAGCCTCCGCGTGTTGAGGAGGACACAGAGCCTCGTCCTAAAAGAATTGTCACACTGAAAGTCAGTCTGTCAGCTCTACTCCCCACCAACCCAACCCCGACCGATGCTGTGGAAAGGCATTCTTCTCTGGCTTTGCACTGTGTTGTGGAGCTTTGTAGCGTTTCTGTGAAGTCAAGGAAAATAGAGAATTTTAGGTTAGCCAGCAGCTCCTGTAGAGTAGTTGATACCTCATGATACAAAGAAACATTGTAGGCAGGGAGGTACCGCTGCAAGACTGGAAATGAGCTGAAGGGTGAAAATCTATAGAACCACAATCACAAAAACATGTCAGTATATCATATCATATTAATGCTCATTCAGTTTTAGGGATTTCACTCAAAATCCAGCGCACACACTCGTTCGTGCTTCCAAGAGTATTGCTCCACTGTTACTTCACACCTCCCTTCTATTATCGACTTTATGGCAAATTAACCACTCAGATATGTTTCAGAACGATTTCACTCGTCGTTTTTTTTGGACACAGTGGAAAGCAGAGGAATAAGGAAGTGCTGATTCCAACCATTTGGCTCCGTTTCATCCTGTGTTGGTATGTTTTAAGCATTTCAATGGCTTTTATGAGTGTCTCACATGTCACCGCCGTCGGGTGAAGGGCAGGTCGATGTTATTTCAACTCAGTCCAGGCTTCTGCTGGAATCCGCGGAAGGGTTCCAGCTGGGACTTGAACACAGAACGGGACATTCTGAACTTTCCTTTCCTCTTTATTCCAGCCTCCTTTCTTCATCATCCAATCTATTATCAATACTTTATTTCTGTTTCTTTCCCCCCGACAAAAGCAGAATGTGACAGCTGTCTGGATAAAATGGAATATTACCACAGAACAGAATCCAGTGTGAGACACCATTTTGGATGACGCAGTGTTGTTGTAATTTGACATTTCCCCAAGGCCATGGCATCATCATCCTCTCCTCTCCTCTCCTCTCCTCTCCTCTCCTCTCACCTAAATTGTGTAACCGGAGAAGGAACAGGTGGATTTATACGTGTACGTCACACGCATTGATCTGATGATAACACACACAAACACAGTCGCACATTTTCCGTTTTCCACTTGTGAAAACAGACAACTGTGAACGTATTTCACAGCGTGTCCAGCCAGGTACCGCTCTCCTTCTCCTTCACATTCCCTCCATCTCTCTCTCTCTATTTCTTTTTCACACACACACATACGAATGCACCAGTGAACAAACAGAGTCTGGAAATGTTTCACTTTTCTGCTGGGGGAAAAAAAAAAAACACAACCTGCCAAGAACACTGATGGTGCATGAGATCTTAGTCATGCATTTAAACTCTACAAACACACACACATGCATACATTCAGTTGTACCTACACCAGTATTTGTGTGCTTAAATGCATCCGGGCTCATACACTCACACATGTGCCGTAGGTGTTTACACTCACACGCATCGAGCTTGAGTCAGAAGTCACAGAAGAGCTGGTAGTGGCATGGCCAGATGGTGTGTGTAATGTGTGTGTGATTACTGCTTTGGTGTTGTTGCTCTGTGATGTTGCCTCACGTGCGCATCTGCATGTGTGTCGGTATATGTGTGGGCGATTAGTGTTTTCCATGTCTAGCTCCCCAAACCACATGCCAAAGATCTTGTTTACCACCAGCCATGGCTTTAAAAAAAAAAACCACCAGACAAACATCAGATTTGATTTCAGCCTGTCACAATCAGTAGGTTTGTAAATACCCTAAAAATATCTTCAATTCCCTGAAAGAAAATATGTAAAAAGATCGATCATTGTTTGATTTTTTTTTTTTTTTCCATCTCGCAACAAACAATTTCTCTCTGCTGAATTGGAGATCATAAGCTGCTCATCTGTCATGTTATGTGTGATAGCAGCCTTTTAAAGCCTATTTTTCTGTCTTTATTTCTAAAGTCTCCTGTCCCAATAAAGTTTGATGTGAGGCTGTCAGGCGAGCGAGTCTCTGTTCGCTTCCTCTCACTGACAGAAGCAGTTGGTTGACAGAGACGCTCCTGATGGTGACAACTAAATGATCTCTTCTTTATTAAACACCTCTTACTATCTCTCCATCTCTCCCCGACTATCCCACTTCCTCCTCGCCTTTAGTGCCTCTTTTTATCTTTTGACTGACTGCTCTCCCTCTCCCCATCTATTTCTCATTCCTCAGAGTCCCTCCCTCCCTTCTCTTGCTTTTTTTTTCTTTTCACCCTCTCCGCTCAGAACCTCCTGCATTGTGTCCTCATTGAGTCTTTTCCGTCTCCACCCTGGTTGTCTCTCTTTGTTTCTCTAAGAGGGAATATACTTCCATCCTTCACCTGGGGCCGTCACCCAGTCAGCTAGCCAGTCAGCCAGCTTGTCAGTCTGTCAATCTGTTTGATAGTCGCTCGGCCAGCCAGTCAGTCATTGGGCAACAGTGTGAAAACATTAATTAAAAAGTCTCATCCACAAAGCAAGTCAGTGATCCAGGCTGATCTCCGCGATCCAAGCTTTCTGTCTCGGTCTTTTTCTGACGCTAGCCTCCTTTCCGCCTCTGTTATCCTCTCTCCTCATACCTTCTGAGCCTCTTTCTCAGCTTTTTCTCTGTTTCTTTTGCCCCTCTTTCCAGGAGCACTGAAAGACTCGTCTGATAAGAAACATTATTAACTTTTTTCTTTTTTCTTTTTTTCTTTTTTTTCTGAGAACCTGGAGAACAGAGAGCTGGAGAATAGGAATGGGATGGAGGGGGAAAATAAGGGAAGGAGACAAAGAGAGAGGCAGAGATGTCAAACATAAGGAAGCGAAACGGACAGGAGACAATAAACGTTGGTAGAAAACACAGACAGAAAGCGCTGTGGAGGCTGTGTGTCTCTTTCGTTGGGCCTTCTAGCAGGATTGGGTGCAATGCAGACGGCCATTACCATCATTTATGAGACAGTTCTGTCTGTGTTCTGAGGCCTACGGGAGGGATTTGAAACAGATACGGACATAAAGGATAAATAGAAGCATAGATAATAATAAAAAAAAGATGGCAGCAATAAGATTTTTTGTGATTCCCCTGAGAATGTGGCTGACATGTTAACCTGGCATAAAGTTTAGCATGCTAGCTTAGCATAGAGGCATGCTAACTTTTGGTACTTAGCTTTGAGCTGAAGCTGCTGGATTAGTTTCAGGTATTTAATAACAAACCAAACTACTGGACAGGCTAAAATTGCGACATGACGACTTCACTTGATGAGTTATGTAGCGTTGCATAATGTTAATAATTCATGAATTTCTTTACAAAATTTATGGCAAACCATCCAGTAGTTGCAGAGACACTCCGAACCACGAATGTCAACCTGTCCTGCAATTGATGCAAATTCTGGGGCTGAAGTTACTGTGATTCATTCTCTGGACATCGTGAATGTTTATACAAAATGTAATAGTAATCCATTCTTTAGCTGTTTTATTGTTTGGACCAAAGGGATGAATGACCAACCGGCTGACCAACCTTGCCTCTAGCTTAGTTCAACATGTGCAGAATCACAGAACAACCAACATCACTCCCAGATGTTCAGAATTCTAAACTGGTTCAGTGACTAATCAGAATGTTTTATTGTTTTTTTTTTTTCTACAGATATGGAAAAATTGTGTCAACAAAGGCCATCTTGGACAAAAACACCAATCAGTGCAAAGGTGAGTAAGCGTCACCTGTAGCCTTGCAAAGACATTCTACACTTCACAAACATAGATTTTGATGTAAGTCTGGAGAACATCCATTGGATTTGGAAGTTTAAAATCAGAGCAATCAATGTGTACTATGGGGAGTGGTTTTGTTTTTATAAATCCCTTCTTTGTCTACTTTTTGCAACCCCAATTAATCAATGCCCAGAAGTTTTTACGAAAACATCAGCAGACAGTTTGACGTCAGAATCAAGTCCATGTGTTTGCCTTTGAGTTGTGTGTTTAGCAATGCGGTAAGGGTGTGTGTTTTTACACTGTATACAACACGACGGCACTGACTGCCATAAAAAACCATGTCGTCCTTTAATCTATCTAAATGATGCACTACTGGAGCGTCTTTATTTTGTTTAACTCCTCTATGATGATGATTTCTGGATTGCACGCTAATGATACTCAGAGTCGAGCAGCTTTTGAAAGCAAGATGTTGGCATTGTTGTCACAGGCCGAATCAAAATGGAGAACACCATACAATAACCACAATGTGTTTCGAATAGTCTCTGTGGTGAACGAGGCTTGCTCGAGTGTCTTCTGATGAGGGTCTGCCTGATTGTTGGAGTGGTTTGAACAAAGCACTAATCAATATGATTGTAGTCGTCTGCTTCTGAAGAGGAACACAAGAGCATGTGTTCAGCATGATTGCTGCTCATCTACCGGGGCTGTACTCAAAGGTATACTGACATGCTTTAGGACAACAGCACAAATGCCCTGTAATCAGCATTTCAGTTTAAACAGTATGAGTGAAGGAAAACTGAGTCTGATTGATACTGATGGCAGGGATGTAAATGTGAATTCTAAGACTTCTTCTGCGCTGATTATGATAAAATATTTGGAGGAAATGATTGCACTCCTGCCTGTCTTAACATTATAATGGGAAAACCAAATCTCAGTGAAGCTCCTCTAAAAACTCTTTTACTCCAGTTATTATCTTGGATCTTTCTAATTGGCTAGTTATGGAAATCTTACAAACTTCATCATTCCGGTACCTGCTTCGGCATCACATAATCAAATATGGCTTTGAGCTGTGAACGCACATTGAAATGCCTTTCCTGACATGATTACAGCATAGCCAAAGGGAAGGCAGAAAATTCTATAAACCCAGTGATAATTATCAGTTATTCTTCCATTTTCTCAACTCATTAAATTTTTTCATTGGTGTTTCCTGAAATGAGGTTTTTTGAAAACCTGTTTTAGTACAGCCTCCGTGCTCCAGTTCATGATTTTTATGTTTGCCAATTATGGCTTCATGCTTCTTTGTAGTATGGTTTACAAATGGAGATAGTATCTATTTAGGCTCACATTGCATCCAGTGCTTACAAATTAAACACAAAACCCAACTTAGTCTGCTTTAAAGGAGAACACAGGGAAATGTTCGTACTGTTAACTAATCCCACTCAAAAATCTTTTTTCTTAAGTGTCTAAAGCTCATTCCTCTCTACCATAGCTTCACAAAAGACTGTCGAAAACACATCAGTGAGCCACACTGTTGTACTGGCATGTTCCTTTATTGCCATAGACATGGGCATTGGAATTTATTTTGCATCAATCCCACATAGTGCTGTTTCCATCAATATTTACCAGAACATTAAATGTGTATTAACCAGCAGCTGGAAGGAGTCCCCAAATACAGTATTTACACCTGTTTTGTATAAAACTGTGATGGCAAGCTATTGCAGGCAATTGAAACAGTATGTTTTGTGACGAGTGCGGAAGTTGGAAAGTATGAAGTGAACAGCGAATGCTCATCTTTTCGTATGATTTGTTGACAGCGAGAAACAGATAAGATGACACTTGCCTTAAGCCTGAGATATACATTGGTGTGGTTGTGAACGCCCACACGGACCATGAGTTTGCTGCCAATAATTTAGGACTGCATGTAATACCATGTCTCTTTTGGATTCCTCTTTAAGATCAGATAAGTGAATAAAATTTGATGCAATACGAATAAAAAACAGATTGATTTAATAGTCAGCAAGCCATCAGATATTTCACAACATCAGTTAATGGCTTCAGGCCCAAGAAACAAATTGACAGCCTGGTTTAATCACATTCAGTCACATTTCATGCGCTAACATGTTTTGATTAATAATCAATCACGAGCAACGACTTGAGTCTGTAGCTGAAGATGCACCTGATGCTGTGCATGGAGGTTTCCGTAAAATAAAACAAATTTGACTTGTGCACATTTACCGTATTATTTACACATGTAAAAACAAGATTTTTAAAAAGTCACTGAGACAAAATCACGTTGGTGAGAACTGATTGCTGAAAGTACGTCTTGCAACTCTCGTTTAATGTTTATTATTCGCATTTTCAGAACACATTTAAGACTCTTTTTAATACCAGCACAGTTGAAATGTTCTTTAAATCCACATTAACAATTAGAGTTTCTTTCTTTCTCTTTTGTTTTAAGTAGATGCATGTTTCACGACAAGAATGTGTGTTTTCTAGTGAATATTAGGGGTTTTCTCTGCATCATTTTTGGCACTATAGCCTGGATATCTTCCAGACAAGACCTTTATGAATACTAAACATTAAAGAGACTGTTTCAAAATGCAATCCCCGTACATGCGGCCATAAATTGATGCTTATTATTTAATGTACCTAGAATACCCATAATGCAACAGCTGCAGCCGTTAGCATAGGCGAGTTTTACAGACTGTGGCCCTCATCAGCAATTTCCCTCCTTGTGATGGAGACTTCATACATCTCTTAGCCAGTTGTTAACTCACAATGAAGGAGTTTCATTATCAGTCGGCCATTAGAGTGCCTTACAACCGGATAAGTGTTGGTTTGATTGCAAAGGCATTCAGTGGGGACAAGATAAGTGCTTAGCGTGACTAAGAGAGTACAAATTGGCACAGAGAGTTCTCTTGGAAAGGGAGGGATGGATGGGCGGAGGCATGGGGAGGTGGAGGGAGGGGGTAAAAATAACCTGGGGCTGACAGAAAAGGAAGGGGACCCTTTGAAACTGATGATTTAGCAGACAGCCTCTTCTTCTCAGCGAGATTTTTGCAGAGAGGAAACAGCGGTAGAAAGCACGAGATGTGTAGACAAAGAGACAGGTAAATAAATAAAGTCATGTTCCTTTGCAGTCTGAAGAGATACTCTCTGATCGGTTTGCATGCTGTTGTCATGCGAAAACCTTGCGACCCCAATTTCTGTGTTGTTCTTAGTTCATCTTTGTCGCTGAAAAATTGATGCTTCTCACTGAAAAAAATCTAGGTGTAATAATGCAGTGTACATATAATGAAATGAAATGCACTATTTTTAGAATTAGTGTTTAACTGTAATTTTAGTAACAAAGAAAGCAAAGCCTTTGCTTTATTCTCTAAAATAAAATAAAGGCTTTCTTTGTAAAGTCCTCAGCTTCGTAGCAAGCTCAGTGTTAAATACACTGACAGTTTTTCGTTAGCAGTGTGGGAGCTCTGAGGGAGGGAGAGGGCACGCAGCACAGGATGGAGGAAGGGAGAGGAAACCACTTTAGATTGTAAAGGATTTCCATTTCCCAAAGACAAGCACCCTCCTTCTCACTGTCTCCATGTCTCCTGCCTCCCCCCCGCCTCTCTCTCCGTCTCCCCCCGACTCACTGCCACCCCCACATTCCTCCTTTGCTCTGTCTCTCTCCTTTTCCCTCTGTACTTGGTTAGCCTATTCTAATGGCCCAAGGCCAGGAACTCTGGGAGCTCAGGAGATTGGATGGGATCTGTGTGTGTGAGTGTGTGTGTGTGTGTGTGTGTGTGTGTGTGTGTGTGTGTGCACTCTAATGTTTATCTGTGCTTCCATCTGTGTCTGTGAACGCATATGTGTGTATTTATGTCTGTGCTTCATAATAATTTTTTTTTTTTCATTCACGAGTGGAATATTTGTCAGGCCTGACCGAGCAAGATGAATTTTCATTTCTGTGTCATCATAAGGCCACAGATGGGAGGGACGGGACACAAATGAGAAGGATTATATAATTCACAGATATTATTTTCATTCTTCCGTTCCCTGGAAAATATTCTTATCATCGTGCATGCAGAAGCTATCATTTACATTTACATGAGATGAGTTTTCACTGAACTAAAGAGGGTAAATATTAATGCATAGTATATGAACATGCACAAATTACATGTTGCACAGAAGAGTGCTGCAGTGATCTGGAAAACTATCCATCAGCTTGGAAGGCAGGCATCTGCTCACCGACTCAACAAAGCGTCCACCTCGCTGAAGTGTCCTTGAGCAAGACAATGAATTCCTACCAGCTCCTGGGGTGTGTTCTGTCGCTGATACTTGACCCCTGACCTCCCTGGAGAGAGGGGCAAATACATTTTCAGAAAACACAGATCTCTCCTTGAGTGATGAATAGCCTCAAAACAAATGGCACATTCTCTTCAAGGCTGATGTTTTGTCACACCAAGCTAGTCAGTGAGATGAGCACTTGGAGGAAAAATGTCCCCATCATTTATGCCTATAGAAGAGTGAATGGTGTCTGGTGATAGGTGTGATGTATTTCTGAGGCCGAGCCGACATTCATCTGCGCTAGAAGTGTAAAATATAGACCGAGTCCTGGTCGTCTTTAGATGTAAGGACTAACTTGAATGTGCAGGGCAAAGCTAGATTACATGCCAACAACTACAACAGCTCAATATTTTATTTACAGAGCATGTACAAGGCTCCTGAGACACAAACTCAGTTTTCTGGTGCTGTAATACTAAGGATACATTTTACTTGGGCTACACAGTTTATCAGTAAATCACTGTAAACAGAGCAGCCCCATGAAGTGGCTCTCTGTTACACTGTAGATTAAAGCCTCAAGCTTCTGATGGCCGTAAAGTTCACTTGATTGCATGCAATGTTTTCACTCTGCAGAACCTCATAGCTTACCACCATTAATATTAAATAGTTCGCTGATTATGTTCAGCTTCTGTGGAAAAAAAAAAATAACTGCATTAAAACTGTCAGATATGATAATGTAATAATAACATTAATATACAGTTAGTTAATATTATGTGCATGTAGTTAATGTGGCCTGGACCTCTACTGAAAGTTGATAAAAAGTCAAACCTTAGAAAAGAAAGATGCATTCTTTTGGGTTTTTTTATTCTAAAAAAAACATTGAAACAACCTGGCATCAACATGTACAACATTTTTCCAAGTGCCCAGAAGTATTACCAATAAAAAAGATGGGGGCTCCACATGCTATAGATTTTATTGTATTTTCGTCACCTCGCAGCTAGAAGGTCGCCAGTTCACATCCCGGTGAGGACACCCAGGATCTTTCTGCGTGGAGTTTGCATGTTCTCCCCGTGCAGCGTGGGTTCTCTCTGGGTTCTCTGGCTTTCTTCCACAGTCCAAAAACATGTTGATTGGTGATTCTAAATTGTCCATAGGTGTGAATGTGAGTGTGCTTGGTTGTCTGTCTCTAAGTGTCCAGGGTGTTCCCTGCCTTCGCCCTAAGTCAGCTGAGATAGACTCCAGCCTGTAACACACAATGTCCCCCAACAAATTCTATGATTTATTTTATTAGTATTACTTAATTATTTTCTTTGCATTGACTTATTTATTATTTCCTCGTGTCTTCGTTGTTTGCAGTCTGTAATGCACATTGCCACACTAGTTTTAAAAGGTGCTACACAGCTTAGGTGTTGTACTGAAGATGTAATCTGCTGCTATCAAACAAAAGGCCTCTCTGCTCTGGGCTGTTGGTGATTGAATTATCCTGTGTGGACTGCGTATCGGGTTTTATTTCCCTACTAATTGCACGTACGGTCTGTAGTTAAATAAACACCCATTAGTTAGTTTGAGATGTGAGTTATGGAACTTTTCAAATTTTTCTGGAATAAAATGAAAGCATCCTACCATGCTGCTGATGAATACTGTATGCACATTCTCAATTAGCTGAAGTGTTTTGGTGTGGCCCTAATTAGATAAATATAGATTAAGTACAAAAACAGTGAAAGCTCGTGTGGTGTGCTTATGTTTGCATATATTTATGAAACTGTTTTCACTGCATATCTGTGTATCCATGCCTGTCTGGATCCATATTTGTCACAGTGACTAATGTGTGTGCATTATATGTGTATGTACCACAGTAAGAACTTGCATGTGTGTTTGTGTAACCCTATTTTGGCTAAATTATGGGTTTCTCATTAGCAACAGTATAAATATTTGTGTGTGCAGTGCAGATCTTGCTGTGAAAGCAGCTTGCTGCCTTTGAACAATAACAAATCATCTGCTTATCAGCAAAACCGAGCGTGGCTCCAAATCCAGCAAAAGACAGACAGACAAGAACAGATGTTAGGAATGAAGTATGCGTGTGCATGAGTGTGTGAGATTCCCTCATTCTTAACATGTTTACATTTTGGATTGTAATAAGTGAGGCTTTTTGAAATGTGGATCATTTAATTGTGTTAACACGCAGCCCACTCAGAAACTGCAGCTGGAATTTCAAAGCTGCTGCGCTTTCTGAGAATTTCTCTGTGGCCTCATGCATGTGTGTCAATATTTCTTTTTTACAGTCACACAGTCAAAACCGTTCTCACACAAGCACGTCTCAGCTTTGCTCACATGTGCCACACACACAAACTGCTGGTCTCACTGCAGACAGAGTATGTCTTTTAGTTTTTGCTTTTTGACATCTCTCTCCAGTCGGACCAATGTGAAACAGTGAAACAGCGCATATTTCTGAAAGCAGAGATTTGTGCTCTTTGTCCTTCAGTGCATCCTGTAGGGCCCAGCCTGGATCCCCAGAGCTCCTCTAACAGATACATTGTCCACATTTGGTAGACGGGGACACAGAGACACACGAACCGATGCGTACTTTATTGCAATAAAATCGACTGAAGCTCATTCTCCTTTGTGTCTTTATTTCTTTGAAAAAAAGGCTCTGAATCACTTTAATTGCTACATTAAATGTGGAGAATTTTTCTGGATGTCACAGTTACAGAGGCATTCGGTATTGAGCCGCCACTATAGGAGCATACAACACGTGGTGACAGATTTAGTGTAGTACAGGGACAAAATGACCTCAGCTGCAATACAGTGGGATATTAAAAGTCAGATAATAGGAAGGTAGTAGATTGTACATGTAAAAGTAAGGTGTTTTAAGGTTTGAGTCATACACCATATATATCTACAGAGAATATCAGGTGAGCAGCCATACATAGATATATTTTTGCAGGATCATGATGAAATGCAAAAAAAACTTGCACAAAGCATGCAGTTCCATTTTTTTTTAAAAAGCCACAGTGCACGAAAAGTTTGGTAATAAACAAGATAGAAAGAGTTACTGTTATGACACCAATTCTGTTAATGTTCTGTGCTAAAACACATTTAATGGGGGAACTAGCAGCTTTCATTAAATACGTGACTTGACTTGATTTTGACACATTTGTTGAACTTATGCGGCGTTGAAAACAAAACACAGGCTGGGACTTCTGATAGAAATTAGCATTGCTTTGGCTCAACAATATTCAGAACATTGCCTGATCCTGATTTGCTTTGTCTATTATTTTTTTCTCCTCACCCCCACGCGTCCTTCCCATCATTTTCTTCTTCCCCTGTTTTACCTCTGTTTTGTGTGTGTGCGCAGGCTATGGCTTTGTGGACTTTGACAGCCCTGCAGCAGCCCAGAAGGCCGTGGCCTCGCTCAAAGCCAGTGGAGTCCAGGCACAGATGGCGAAGGTAAGCTTCACCCCATCCTGCACTCTCTGGTCTGATTAACTTGTTGTTGTGTTCAGGTGTTTGGCTTTCCTGTGGTGTTGTAAACTCTGAAGAAAATTGATGGTGACAGCAGGTGAAAATCATGTGGGTGTTTTTTTTTTTTTTTGTAGTTATAATGACAACAATGGAATGATAATAATCTTTATAATGACCACAGGATTTAGTGATGCTGTTACAATGATTCATGTGAGACCGATAGGTGCAGCTTTCATCGAGTAATTGATGAGATTGTTGATTCAGTCCATGATACAGTTATTGATTAACGACTATGGCCATGATGGGAATATCGATCAAAAAGCATGGAGCAAATGATTTAGATGGCAGAGGTCATTTCCAACCATCCTACATGCTTTCTTTCTTTTTTTTTTTTTGGTCTTTCTTCCGCCCTGTGTTTTTTTGTGTGATCCTCTTGTACTGCCCTCCATCTTATTTTCAAAATGATTTGTATTTGTGTTTGTAGACGCGTGTGTGTGTGCGAGAGAGAGACAGAGGGAGGGAGTGTTAAATCAAATTTACATGCATACATTAGCATGCATCACCTCACTGCGTGAGTAGAAGTGAATACGCCTGTCGATGTCTTCTCTTAGAGGAAGCATGCGGGTCACTCGGCAGCGTGTGTGTCTGTGCAGACGACAATGCTGTGCCAAAACATGTGGGCCTAACCAGCACAATCACATTATCCTTCCATGCCTGGAAGAGAAAGACAGAAAGACACTGAAAAGCCTGCCTTGTTTTCAGATTCATTAAAGCTGTATCGCTGCATACTTCCTTTTATAAATGAGAGAGGAGTGCAATTAAAATGGGCCAGTCTTCAGGCACCAGGAGCATCCCATTGAATTAAACAGCAACAAGCCTCTGAGCCACCTTTGCCTTGCTCTTCTATTAAACCTCTTTTCATTAGGCTTCCATCTCTTATTTTGTTCCTAACGGCTGGGGGTGGTGGAGGAGGGGTGGTGGTGGTGGTGGTGGTGGGGGCATTTGGAGCAGCAGTGTTGATGTGTTTAGCTGTTATTATGGAGGGAAGAACCCTCGACTCCTTGGAGATTGAGTTTTCCAGAGGGATGGAATGGAGGGCAAGAAGTCAATTCCAAATGAAATTACACAGACTTCTTACTGTTTCATGAACTAATTATGCAGAGAGCTGCTGATGTCCCACCTAACTTTGCAGAAACCGCGTACAATGAGCAAGTCGGTCTCAGAAACACTAATGTGGGATTTCCTGTTCCAGTCTTGAAAATTTTGTAAGACGAGCAGCTTAATTTGGGTTTGACAAAATCTTGGTTTTAATTAGACTGGCTGGGACAATTTGTCAGAGTGAAAACTGCCACGCTACTTCCCTCATCAGAGATACACAGAGATTTTGTAGGCTAGCTTGGACAGGCAGCTTTTGTTCTTAGATCTAATCTCCAAAATAGTTGAGAGCTTTCCAACCAGAGACAGCAGTAAGGTGGCAGTAGAGAGGAGAAAAGGAGGCGATTAGTGAAAGAAAGATGAGTCATCTAAGAAAGAGGAATATTGATTATTACGGATGAAGGGAGAGGTTTGAGGGGGAAAGATTTTGGAGATAAACTGATCTGACACTGAATATCCCTACTGAGCCAGTGTTGGACTGATATAACAAATGGCATCTAATCTATAAATTTATGTACTCACTAAAATGTCCAAAAACTTGAGTTTGTGAAATGTAAAGTTAGAGTTAAAACATTATATTGATAACATGAATGGTGTCCAGTGTGGATGTTGTTTCAGGATGCTCCCCCTGAAGCTGATGCTTTCTCTCATTACTGCTTTTCTTACCTCTATCAACTCACATAGCGTTTGTTTATTTGCAGCATATAAGTAAACAAATGACATTAAACACATGTATGTCCTGCCGCTTCATTTTCTTACTTTGTAAAGTTGCTTTCAGCTGCCGGGAAGCACACAAACATGTTTACTACATTCCATCACAGAAAAACACACATCCGTGCCTTGTAAAGTGTAATCTGTTTGTTTTATAGTGAACTAAAGGGGGATATGTGAATGCTTACTTCCTATAGTTAAGTCAAAGTAGTGATAAAATAGTTGTGAAAAACATTTCTGTACAGGCAATTTTAGTGGTACACGTTAACCCTCTGAACCCCAATTTTTCACATTTTCATTTTTTCTCACTTTTGGCTCTTTGTTGTGTTTTTTTTTGTTTGTTTTTTTAATGCATCTCCTTGGAAACTACAACACCCCAGCTAGAAGGGGATAGAAGTCAAAAATGTCTTCCATGCAGTATAGCAAATGCATATTACAGTTAATTGTACAGCAAGAAAATGTAGTTGAATTCCTTTGATTATTTTACAACAATGGGGAAAAAAGAAAATGAAATCAACATGGGCAACATTTTTCCGAGTACTAACAGGTGTTAACAATACAGACAAAAATAAATGGTGACTCTACATTCCATAGATTTGTATTTATTTGTTCCTATACTTTCCTATCTGCTCTGTGTAAATAACCTGAAGTTCAGCTCAGTTCAGCCAAGAAGTCTTTGTCATTCGTTGTTTGCAACTGAGTCACTAATGGCTTCACAGCTGAGGAGTATGGCTATTTGCTTTATACTTTTTTTTCTTGGATGTTGAATTGCAGTTGTTGCCGACCTTGTTGTCTACGTTGTCCTGATCGTTGGTTCTACCAAAGAAGCCGCTGCTCTTACTTTTCTCCCTCGCTGTTTTTCCTCCACAGTATTTTCTACAACAAAGCCACAAATCCACTGCTTCCACATTTACAAGATTTTCTATGAAAATAATCCCTTCCTGTTTTAACGTGGCTTAGATGCAACTCTGCTCGCCTCAGAATGTGCACATCTAGGAACTTTCATCTGCACCCATCCGGTCGACTGTTTGCTGCAGCTTGAGCACACCAGCTCAGCAAAGGCTCTGTTCAAACACTGTAAAGCAACTTTACAAAATGCAGTGGCAAGTTGAAGTAATTAAGTCATACACTGAGTCATAAACTGCTTGAATAGCCAAAAAGAATAATGACACAGAAAGGCCCCCTCCAGGTGTAGTCCTTAGATTTGTTACGTATGAAATCTGGTTGTCTCAATTCATGTGTGTGTCTATCAGTGCTACAGTGCAACAGCATGGAGTAAAGGCTCAGCCATGGTGCTGAATGCTTATTTCATTCATATGTCTTCTAGCAATAATTAAAAAAAACAACAATATGGACATTCAGTGGAGCGTCTTTAAAGCAAACAAACAAACAAAAAAAAGGATTAGCATCAGAATACATTAAGGTACCAAAAGTCAATGTATTCATTAAGCAGAGTGGCATATTTCAGAATAATGTATATTGTTCAATTATATTATATTATTGATGCAATAATGCGTTCATCACTTTAATGTTGGGGCGGTAAAGGTGATTAAGTTACTTTATGTGCTTTATCAGCTGGGTAGCTTTGTGAATTTCCCCTCAGGGAAAAATAAAGATTTATCTTAATCTATGATATATTATAATGTCTTTATTGATTATATTTAATTTCACTACACTTATCAAATTAATACAGTGGAGTAAAAAGGACAATATTTGCATCACGGAGAAAAAATCAGAGCAAAATAACTTAAAATACCTTTAGGAGCTTTATATCTTGTTGTGCAAGCAGCCTAAAAAAAATCATCCGTCAACCCCAGAGTTAACTACGATTAGAGGAACTTCCTGACATAACCCACGAAATAATTAGAGCGCAGTTGAAGCACGATGAGACTGCTGGTGTGCATGTAACCGCGTTCAGCGCCAGAAAACCTTTATCCATTAAACCCTGCAGCTCGCACTGACATCTTCTTTGTGGCAGGTGCTTGTTTTGGTTGTGAAATAAATGAGACAAGAAGAAAATACAGCAAGCCACAACGAGAGAGGAGGAGAGGCAACTGTGTGTGTGTGCATGCGTGTGTGTGTGTGTGTGTGCATGTGTGTGTGTGTGTGTGTGTGTGTGTGTGCCCTGCACTCACTTCCTCAGTCTTCTTGGTAATTACTGTTGACCTGAAAGATGATTACTGCTACAGCTGTACTCCCTCCTCTCTCTCGCCGGCTCACTCACAGTTAGTTTTTCTGTCTGCCTGCCTCGTTTTCGCCTTTTTCTCTCCGTGAGCGTATCATTTTCTTGAATAACCATTTAACACTCTGAGCCGTTCGTACACTTAAACTCCTTCTGGTGCACAGAACACTGAAATTTCTTTTAACGCTGCCTCTCATTTTATCATTTTAGCCACCTCTTAAACCATCTTATAACTCTCATTCATCTTTTTTTTTTTTTTAACCATTTAGCAATAGAGCATATCTAGTGACTGATGAGTGTGTGTGTGTGTGTGTGTGTGTGTGTGTGTGTGAATGTGTCCTTTTCTGATTTTTTTTCCTTCTATTTTCTAAGATTCTTATGTGGGTTGGGGCTGGACTTGCTTGTGTCCCCATGTTTTAGAAGTACAGAGTCTTGTAAAAACAAACACACAAAACACAGACTCAGCTGTGTGTGTGTGTGTGTGTGTGTGTGTGTGTGTGTGTGTGTGTGTGTGTGTGTGTGTGTACAATAACAGTTACACAGGACCAAGGTCACTATGCTAATTAGAGAGATGCTACCACTGGCAGTGACACTTCACACCTCCCTCCCTTCTTCCCTCCCTTTCTTCTTCTCTCCTCCACTTTGTCCTTGGCACCTCCTGTCTTTCCACTTCTCTGGTCTCTCTTTTATTTTGTACTTTCCCCTCTTTCTTTCTTTTTTTTTTTTTTTTTGAGGCCTAGTTTGTCTGACCCCCCACCTGCAATCTCCCCATGATTTTCTCCTCTTCTGTTTTTCCTCACCTTCACTCTCTCTCTATGTGTTTATGTGTGAGTGTATTTGTCTACAGCAGGTGCTGCACTGCCTCCTTCAGAGTCATTAGTTACAGGGTTGAGTGAGGACAGCGTGAAGGGTAGAAAGAGAAAAGGGCTGGATCTTT